GTGTGTGTGTGTGTGTGTGTGTGTGTGTGTGTGTGTGTGTGTGTGTGTGTGTGTGTGTGTGTGTCACAGTGGGATCAGCCTCCTCCCCAGAGGTCCTGGGTCCTGAGGAGGGTCCACTGCAGAGACATCTGTTGTTGCCAACAAACAAAAAGAAAAATGTGCATTTTAAACATTCGATACGTTCACTATGTTCCACTTTGCATAAAGTATAAATTATGTCATTTTTACAACATCCGAACATATTTTAAATAGATTTATGCTTGTTTTTCTGCACTAAAACACATTCGTGTCCTTATTATGCCTGGTTTTATATTGTATGGAGGACATAACCTATCATTATTGGAAATAAAAGTATAAATATATAACTGGCTTAAGATTCAAATTCTCCCTGAACAGTCCCATAAATAATAGCTTTTATTCCCCACAGGAAAACAGTCCTTTCCCACATCCCCATCAGTAATGTACTCATCTGTTTTAATAGGTTCTGTACACTCACATTTTTTTCCATTTAATCCTGTTTCTATGGTAAAATTAAGGCAAATATGGCAAAAATCACTAAAATATGTGTCAATCCACCACGAGTCTGCTTTATTTTTAAAAATAACTAAATAAATAAATAAAATGGCAACCAACCATGCGGTGGCAGCAAAGTCTCACGTTTGTCTGTTTTTCTTCAGTTCCGCGCTCAGCCACCAGGCGGCGCTCGTCTCTACGTATAAAACACAATAACTTCCATCACTCTGGGAAAGCCATGCTAAAAATTCCTTGTGGTTTTTCTTAAAGTGCCTTTGAAAACACCCGGAGCACAATGACTGGACTTCACTCTGTAACATGAGCCTCGTTCAGAACAAACAGAGCTCGTAAACATCTCAACATGTTGAGGAATTTAAAGCACGAAAGACGAGACGGCTGTAATTAATACACACGTCCACCAGCATCCTGATGTGTAACTTAACCCTACAGCTTCTGTTTCCTGCTCACCTCAGTGTTTCACTCGTTTTTTTCCCACCCTTTTCTTTAGAAACCCAAAACTCATCGCAGCTTTTTTTGAGTTTTTAAACCTAATCAAGATAAAAGTGTTTGATGCAGGAGAAGCTGTTTGACTGCATCTGGTTTGTAGCTGAGTTAGATCGACTTGTTTTCTTTATTATTGAATTCTCAGGTTATACTGTATAAACAGTCAAACACATGAAGTATTAAAAATATGTCGTGAAGCACCTCCCATATTCTTAACAGCTGAAAGCACTCAGGTCACCTGAAGGTCATCGGTTTGTGCAGAACAAGATAAACATGTTGAACAGAAACAGCCTGGCGATGATTCAAAGAGTTTCTTTTGACGTCCGAAGTGTTTCTCTTTGTCCTTCGTTTGTCGAGAATAAAGATAACACTGATAGCAACACACGAAAACAATTTGTTTAGAATAAAAATGTACTGTTTGATGCGTCATTTATTCTACATTAACTTTTTTGTCTAATAAGGACACAGTTCTCTCAACAATGGATGTTATGAACAATTTTGTGCAATATTGGAAGATATCAGGCTCAGAGTGTGTGTTGAGAACGACTCTCAGCTACTACTTTACCAAATTTTAGCTCAGTATCAGTAAAACTGACTGAGTTGTAGCCATTTAAAAATATATTTTGAATCAGCCCGACTCCAAAAGTGAATTAGTCGTAGATGAAACTAAAAACTAACACAAACACGTGAACACGCACTACGTTCACATCATTATTTCATGTTTGTCTCGTGTTTTTACAAGTTTATTTTTATGTAAAAAAAAAAAAAAAGTTCGTATGACCACCCTGACCTACAACTTCCTGCCTGAAGTGTTCCAAAAAACACTTCTGGAGATTTAAAAGGATTAAGCTCAAAGATCAGCACCAGTTTCACTCCATCACTGAGTGTGAGACAAATCTGACAGAAGATCAAATATGTCACTGAGCTGGTCTGAGGAGTGCTGTGTGCGTATATGTGTGTGTGAATATTTAAAGACCTCAAGGCGTTTCTTTTGTGGAGAGATCGTATTCCTGATCAAGAGCAAATCGATGTGTGTGAAACCAAAACAAACCTAACTCCCATCCTCCACTCTTACAAAATGTGACAGAAAGTTTCAGTTTCTCGACGACGATATGTCATTATTTCAGCCTAATGGTGACGATGACGATGGAAGTGTGTACTTCACCAAACAGAGCAGGCTTTGTCACAGCACAAAGCATTTATTATCCCGTCCAGACAGAAACGAGGAAGCAGCAGTCCTGCAGTGTATCTGGGAGCAGGACGTCTGAAGTCTGAGCTCGAGACGGGTCACTCATCTCATGTGTCTCCTTGGTTCTTAAAAAGTCCACTGTCTCTTTTTCAGCAGTTTCACACAGCAAAGTTTTTACATGGAAACATGGAAAAACTGAGAAACTGTACTGAGGCTAAAGCATTTGGGTCACTTTAGCTTCACTATTATTATAAAAGGCCTCTAAAGCAGTGTTTCCCAAAGTTGGGGTCGGGACCCAAAGTGGGGTCCCGAAAAATCAAGGTAGGGGCCGGAAAAGATTTTCTGAATTAATTACATTTTTGCCTTAGTTGTTACAAAGGAGTGAGGTTGGTGTATTTAAAATGGATAAATGTAGTATAAAAATATTGTTACTATGCCCATGTTTTGTTGACCTGATACAAATGTTTATCATACAAAAATAGTTGGGGGCTCAGGTCTCTGCTGCTGTTATTTTGTGGGTCAAAAGCTGAAAAGTTTGGGAACCAGTGCACTTTGGTTCCCAAAGTTGGGCTTGGAACCCAATTATGGGTCATGAAGCACCTTGGATAATCTCCAGAAATCAATTTAAAGGGTAATAAAATCATTGCTGATGTAATATTTTCCCTATAATTATTACAAAAACACAAAATAAGTATAAATAAGTATTTATATTTGTGTACAAGCTGTTTAGATTGTTAAAAAGCCTGTGTTTTTATGGTTATTAACAAAGTTTGTGTACTCAGAGCAGTAATATTTGGGGTCACAAGTTTTTGCCATGGATATTTTGTGGGTCAGAAGATAAAAGGTTTGGGAACCAGTGCCCTAAAGGATAAGGAAACGCAGTAAAGTAATAAATATCATCGGAGGCATCCATCCATCATCTGCTGCTTGTTCCAGAGTCAGGTCATGGAGGCAGCAGCTTCAGAAGGGAGGACCAGGCATCCACAGCCACCTGTTCCAGGAGGTTTTCCGAGGTATTCCCAGGCCAGACTAGAAGGTCTCTCCAGCATGTCCTGGTCTGAGGTGCATACCAGGTGCAGAATCCTGAGGTCTCTGAACTGGATCTGGTTGTACCAAAAACTTCTGTCCGTGAAAGTTGTGAACAGAATCTGTGACAATGGATTGTTACTGCACAATGTCTTTGCTCATATTTGTTCTTTGTAGACTTAGAAAATATCTCCCAAACCAGTGAACTTTGTTAGAAAAACACCCATAAAGCCATCATTTTACACAAATACAATTCCATCAACAATAGCTACAACTCAGGCACTTTTACCCACACTGAGTGAAAATCTGACGTGGTCGTAGCTGAGAGTCATCTCTGACACACTCTGAGTGCAAACACATATGTATAAAGTTATGTTTCTCCTCATCAAGAAGAATTCCGTTATTTTACTGAAAACAACACTGCAAGTAATTATTTTAATGATTCAACTACCTGTTTTCTGCAGTTCATGAGTATCGGGCTTTGTAACATTATACCTTTAGTTCATTTTTTTAAACATTTTTAAACGATAGACGTCAGTATATTAGGCAAGTGATAGTTTTAAATATTATTTTTATTTGCCAAATAATCTTTTGCTTCGCTTGATGTTTTTGTCCCTCGTTCTTTGCCGTAGGGCCGAGCGAATGTGCCAACATACAAACAAGACAATTAAATAGATTATGTAGACCGTTCTACTGCACATCTTTGTTATATTTTTTTAGCTTTTTGAGGATATGTTGGCGGCTGGCTAGCTTCTCATTAGGTTCGCGTCGCGAAACGTTTTGTCCCTCGTTTGTCTCCGTAGGTCTGAGCTCGGTTGCCGGGAAACCGCGGAAGGTTTGCGCTCAGCACGGGAGCGATGGAGAAGTACGAGAAAATCCAAGTTGTCGGAAGAGGAGCTTTCGGGTAAAACTATGGCTTTGTTTGTGTGTTTGTTGTTGTTTCGTGTTAGATATTTGTGTTTATTTCAGAACACGGTGACACCAGGTGTTTAGCTGTAAAAACAGAAGAGTTTAAAGTAACGGAATGGCGGCTGGAGAAGGAGAGGCGGAGACAAAAGTTAGCTGAAACCCCAGCATCTGTGTGGCTACATCTGCCCCGAGTCCAAATAAATGTTTTTTTTAATTAAATACATACATCATTAAGTACACATTTAATCAGTGTAGACATGCAGTTCTGTTATTTAGACCTTCACTGATAATTAAACACGTCATGTTGTGAGAAGATCAGAACTCTTTGTTTTTCTTCACAGCTGATAAACATAATATCTCACTGACTTCCTGTTTGGACTTGTTCCTGTACAGATTAAAGACAAAAGAATAGTAGTAGATTAGTTTAATAGTTCATTTCAATTAAAAAAGTCAATACAATAACAAAAAAAGAAACACAAATCTCATAAAATGAAAGGAAGCAGAAGAAAAAAAATCTTAGAACATCTGCCCCATTTAACAAAAAAATAAATAAAAATAAAAATATATACATATTTATGTGTACGCATACACACACACATGCACATATATAATTTTACACCCTCATCAGCATAACAAAAAAGTAGATTAACCCCTCAAACTTCAGCTTAATACCTTTTGATCAATTTAACTTTTATCATTTTACCAAATAAATTAACTGAGTCAGCATTTTTATAATCACTGTCCAAGTTATTCCACGATTCCTTGAACTGAGGCACATCTATCCTTCAAGTTTATTTGAATTTTGGGTTTTATAAACATTTCAAATCCGTTCAAATTATAACAACTTTCCCTCTTAACTAAATTAGATTGAATAACATCAACAAAACCTTATAATCAAGCAACTCATATTAATAATTTCAAGTGATAAAATAATATATTTGATGAGTGACTATAATGCTTTCTGGTGATAATTCTTATAGCTCTTTTTTAGCAAAATAAGCATAGAATTAGTAAATGTTTTACATGCCTTGCCCCATGTTTCAACACAATAAATCAAATGTGGAACAATTATTGCGTTATATAATATAAACAGTGCTTTATCATTAATAAAATCGGATTATGGAAGTAAAGATATGGCGGTGTTCGTCAGTAAAACTAATCCGTCACAAATCATTGTCCTCCAGAATTGTTCACCTGTGCCGCAGGCGCAGCGACGATGCTTTGGTCATCCTGAAGGAGATCCCCGTCGAGCAGATGTCACGGGACGAACGCCTGGCTGCCAAAAACGAGTGTCAAGTGCTGAAACTGCTCAACCATCCAAATATCATAGAGTACTATGAAAACTTCCTGGAAGACAAGTCCCTCATGGTGGCGATGGAGTACGCACCAGGTCAGCTCGTGTTTTATTACAGGAGCCTCTTCTGTTCGATGCGGAGCAGTTTGTCGTACTGTAGTGCTGCACATCTTCAGGCCTGGATAAAACACAGCGGAGGGACTGTGTCGTAAGGTTATGATCAGTAGAAATGAGTAAAAACGTGATGAGATGCTTTCTCTAATTTATCCTCATCTCAGCCTTTCCTTTTAGAAATAAAAAAAACGTTTATTATCTTCCTGAATCAAATTGATTTGCAGGTGGAGTAACGACAAGTTACTTTGCTTTATTTAGTGTTTGTTTTTCATCACCTTGTTTGATGTACTTGTCGTTGTGTTATGTGTTATTTTAGTTTAGCTATAGTGTTCTATTTCTTTTAGCTTTTAGCCATTCGCTAGTGTTCTGTTTCTTTTAGCTTTAGCAACTTAGCTTCAGCAGAATTACAGCAGTTATTCCATGTTCACGCTACATTTTTACAGAATAAATATTTGTTTTTACGAAGCTAAAAGTTTAGTTGTGATCCATCACATCGAAACAATGATTAAGTCCAAAACTGGAGTGAGGAAAAGTAGGCAAGGAAAAATATAGGATTTTGATTTAAATGTGTGCAAAAATTGCATTTTGTCAAAATTTAATGAATCAATCATTGTATCATTTGAATGAACTGTCTGAAATATAATCCTAAAATAAATTTTTGAAACTTTTTTTGAGCAGCAGCAACAAAAAAACTGATTTTGAGGAAAAACGCCTTAAAATTTTGAATTATTCTCCGTGAGCTAGCAATGGTTTTGTTTCTTTCCAACTGTGAAATCTTAATATACAAATACTATTTGATGTTTCCTCTTTATATTAACATCAAAAATGACTCAATAAATTTACATAAAATTAGGATTCAGACCAAACAGTAGTGTTTTAATGTAACCAACAAGACAAATTAAGTCATATCTGTGGATGAGCTTATGATATCAGAATGATCCAGGTATGAAAATGTAGCTTTTAAAGTCAGGGATCTGAAAATGTAATTAGGTCATTTTGTCCAAATTTGACTTTGATGGGTCATGTTTTCTGAATCCTGTTTCACTGAAACAGGCAGATCACCTGCTGTGTTTTAAAATCCTATTAACTTCACTGAGAACTGGCTTTAATATCCTCGTCTGACCCGAACCAGTAACTTCTACGTACTTCTGGTTTGAACAAGGATCTTTGTTTGTATTCGTCTCTATCGTCCTCCTGCAGGTGGGACTCTGGCTGAGTACATCCAGAAGCGCTATAACTCCCTCCTGGACGAGGACACCATCCTTCACTTCTTCGTGCAGATCCTGCTCGCCCTCTACCACGTGCACAACAAGCTCATCCTGCACCGCGACCTCAAGACGCAGAACATCCTGCTCGACAAGCACCAGATGGTCGTCAAAATCGGCGACTTCGGCATTTCCAAAATCCTCGTCAGCAAGAGCAAAGCGTACACGGTGAGGCGACCCGCCTGCTCCTCCGAAGCCTTCAGACCGTCGGCGTGTAGTTAATATCTGCTGCCTTCGCTGAGCAGGTGGTCGGCACGCCGTGCTACATCTCCCCGGAGCTGTGCGAGGGGAAGCCGTACAACCAGAAGAGCGACATCTGGGCTTTGGGCTGCGTGCTGTACGAGCTGGCCAGCCTCAAGAGAGCCTTCGAAGCTGCTGTATTTTAAAAAAAAGAAAGTAATTTTCTCCTTAAAAGAGAGGATTAAAGGTTTATTTGACCTTTTCATGTTTTTTGTTTGTGTCAGAATCTACCCGCCCTCATTCTGAAGATCATGAGCGGAACCTTTGCCCCGATATCGGACCGGTACAGCCCAGAACTGCGGCAGCTGGTCCTCACCATGCTCAACCTGGATCCCTCCAAACGGCCTCAGCTCAACGAAATCATGGCTCTGCCCATCTGCATCAGGCCCCTCTTCAACCTCTACACCGACGTCGGCAGCGTGAAAATGCGCAGGTGGGACTTCAATCCAGAAGGATCATCAGACGGTTTAATGAGATCCAGTTCAGATTAATATTCTGTCACATGACTGCGTTTAATCCAGAATAGAGAAACCTCTGTCCACCGGTGCTCCAGGCAGACCAGGAGCCAGAGTTCCTGTCAGAACACGAGGTGACACACACCCACTCAGTTACTTCTTTACTCCTCCTTTTTTCTTCACCTCCTCCTTCTTCACCTCCTCCTCTTTCTACCTCTTCTCCTTCTCCTTTTCTACTTCTCCTCCTTCACATCTCCTACTTCTTCTTTTTCTTCTCTTCCTCCCCCTTCCTCCTTCTACCTCTTCTCCTCCTTCCTCCTTCTTCACCTCCTCCTCTTTCTTCCTCTTCCTTCCTCTCCTCCTCCTCCCTCTTCTTATTCTCCTTCTCTTCTTCTCCTACTTTGAAATTTTCTTCTCTACTCCTCTCCCTTCCTCCTTTTACCTCTTTTCCTCCTTCCCCTTCTCCTTTTCTACTCCTCCTCCATCTTCTTCTTCACCTTCTCCTCTTTCTCCTCCTTGATCTTCTTTTCTACTTCTCCTTCCTTTCCTCCTCCTCCTCCTACTTTTTCTTCTCTACACTTCCTCCTTATCTTCTTCTACTACCAATACTACTTCTCCTCCTTCTTGTTCTTCTCCTCCTTCCTTCTATGTCTTCTCTACTTGTTCTCCTCTTTCTACTTTACCTTTACTCCTTCGTCTTCTTCTTCAGCTCCTCCTCCTTTCTTTCAGCTGTTCCTCACATGTCCCCACAGTGAGTCCTCCTCCAGTCTTCACTCTACCTTCACCTCCTGTTTGTCCTCCTGGCAGCTGCATCTCTGACCTCCTCCTACCTCCTGTCCTCCTCTGCTCAGTGGGTTTGTTGAAGGATGTCAGAGTTGCAGCTTTTAGGAGGAGGTAAAGCACACAGTGATGATGATGGTGTTGTTGTTGTTGTTGTTGTTGTTTACACTGTGTGGGACTGAACTGAAACAGACGGATCAGCTGGTTTAGGGTCAGGAAAGCTGCACGCCCTCCCGCTGTCCTCCGTCTACACGTGGGGGAGCGGCATCACGGCGCCTCTTCGCCTGCCGATGCTCAACACCGAGGTGCTGCAGGTGTCTCTGGGCCGCACGCAGAAGATGGGCGTCACCAAGTCCGGCCGTCTGATAATATGGGAGGTCCGTTTGAACGCTTCGACCTTCTGTTGGCGCTCCTGTTTGCAATCAGCAATCTGAAACTGCACATACAGCGGGTAAAATAAGTGTTGAACACGTCACCATTTTTCTCAGTAAATATATTACTAGAGGTGCTAATGACATGAAATTTTCACCAGATGTCGGTAACAACCCAAGTGATCCATACATACAAAGAAATCAAACGATAAATGTCCAGGATGGCGGAGGAGTGAGACGTGTCGCGTGGCTCCCGCTCCGACTTGTTCATTTTGTGGTTCTATACTAAATGTC